TCATCAGTGTTTTTGATCTTGGCCATTCTTACAGATGTAAGGTGGAATCTCAGAGCCATTTTGATTTGCATTTCTCTGATGACTAAGGATGTTGAACATTCCCTTAAGTGTCTTTCAGCCATTTTAGATTGCTCTGTTGAGAGTTTTCTGTTTAGATCTGTACTCAATTTTTTTTATTGATGACTGATTTCTTGAGTTACATGAAAAGGAGATCAAGGGGATACAAATTGGAAAAGAAGAAATCAAACTATCCCTGTTTGCTGATGATGTGATAGTTTATATAAGCAATCCCAAAAAATCTACCAACGAACTTCTATAGCTTATAAATACTTTCAGTTATGTAGCAGGATATAAGATTAACTCAAAAAAATTAGTAGCCTTCCTATTCACAGATGATAAATGAGCTACAGAAGAAATCAGAGAAACAACACCCTCCACAGTAGCCACAAATAGCATAAAATATCTTGAACTAACTCTAACCAAAGAAGTGGAAGACCTGTATGACAAGAAATTTAAATCTTTGAAGAAAGAAATCAAAGAAGATACCAGAAAGTGGAAAGATCTCCCATGCTCTTAGGTAGACAGAATTAACAGAGTAAAAATGGCAATTTTACTAGAAACAATCTACAGATTCAATGCAATGCCCAGCAAAATTCCTCACAGACCTTGAAAGAACCGTACCCAACTGCATATGGAAAAAAAAAAAACAGAAGAGCCCAAACAATTCTGTACAATAAAAGAACTTCTGGAGGCATCACAATCTGTGACTTCAAACTCTACTACAGAGCTACAGTACTGAAAACAGCCTGGTATTGGGATAAGAACAGACAGGAGAACCAATGGAATCGAATAGAAGACCTGGATATTAATCCACACACCTTTGAACACCTGATTTTTGTCAAAGAAGCAAAAATTATCAAATGAAAAAAAAAAGCATATTTAACAACTGGTGGTGGCAAAACTGGATATCAACATGTAGAAGAATAAAAACAGACCCATATCTATTACCATGCACAAAAGTCCAAATGGATCAATGACCAAAACATAAAGCACGCCACACTGAACCTTATAGAAGAGAAAGTGGGAAATACACTTGAATGCATTGGCACAGGAGACCACTTTATAAATATAACCCCAGCAGCACAGACACTGAGAGAAAAAATTAACAAATGGGACCTCCTGAAACTGAAAAGCTTCTGTAAAGCAAAGGACATGGTCAACAAGACAAAACAACAGCCTAGAGAATGGGAAAAGATCTTCACTAATCCCACATCAGACAGAAGTCTGATCTCCAAAATATACAAAAACTCAAGAAATTGGTCATCAAAATAACAAATAATCCAATAACAATGGAGTTCCTTTTAAAACAAATGAAGTGATTGTTATTTACATGTGTTTGTCACTCTTGTCTCCCCGCCCCCCCCCCATCTTCACCATGAACCTTTCTCTGTCTCACCAATCCTTATTCTGCATTCATGCAAGTTGTTTGATGTGGTGGTAGCTTTTTGTTGTCTTTTGTTTGTGATTTGTTGGCTTGTTTTTACTTTTGATTGAATAGTTAGTTACAAAATCAAGCTGAATTTGAATAAAAATGTTCAAAGAGGAACAGCATATATGCCTCTCTGACTTTTGTTCTTAACAAATACTCTCAACAAAAACAAAGAAAAATTGCAAAGAAAGATAAAATTAATACCAACATATTGCCTAAAACTTATAATTGTTAGATATCACAAATTTTCTATAATCAGACTTCAGTGTACATATACAATAATGAGAATTAATAACTACTAAAAGGAGTAACATATCTCAGTTAAGGAAAAACAAATGAAAGAAAGCATAAATCATGTGGTTTTAAAATTGGTGTTTTGTTTTTTTTTTTCCAACAAATTTCTCTGTAACTTTGAAGCCTCTCCTAGAACTTACTCTGCAGGCCTGGCTAGTCTCAAACTCACAGAGATCCACTTGCCTCTGCCTCCCATGTGCTGGGATCAAAGGCATGCACCACCACTGCCCGGCTAAAATTGATATTTATAGTAAAATATTGTCACATGAAAACATACAACAAATTCTTCTTTAATGTTAATATTATATACATATTCATATACATAATCATAAGAATTCAAACATATATGAAGAAATTCCATAACATTTCTCAACTATACCTATACACAAATTCACCTGGTGAGTCTATAAATGTCTATTTACAGGGTCTTATTCCCACCACCTTTGGTAGCATATCTGCAGCAGAAGCTGGGAGTTGTTGGATGAAATAAACAAACATTCCAGTTACTTTGTCTACAGACACACACACACACACTCACACACAATTTTATAAACAATGTCTATTTCTGAGGGACTCACTACTTCTTAGTTCAATTTTCAGGTATTGCATTACTAAATACAATAGAAAAAAGCTTAAATTCATCCATTGCTGTCTTTACAGGCCTTTTTTCTTTATGCCATGCTCAATTCTAAAACATCAGTATTGTTTTATTGATTTGTTCTCAGAGCAAATGTAAAGCACAATTTATATAAACTGATGGATTTACCATTCATGTTCTTATAAAGCTGTAGTATTGGAGAATAATTCCTAGTTCACACTGAAGATGAGAGCAAAAATCACATTAGGCATTGCCTGAAGTATGGAGCAGAGACCTTCATTTTTTTTTTATCAATTTCAAGAATGATTCCCTCTCTGTTTAGTTTGAATAAAGTGATATTTTGATTTTGTTTGGCATTGCTTAATTTGAAAGAATTCAGAAACCATTAACTTACTTATTAGGAGAGGAAAGATTAACTACGCTTCTACAGAGGCCAATTACTTCAGATAATAAAACGGAGGCAGTGTTATGGGAGTATATTTTATGAAAATCACATATGCTCCAGACATTTTTTAGTAAAACTACATTTGAATTGTTCTAATCTGTCCCTTCAGGTTTTATTTTACTTTTATATGTGCAATTTTAAAATGCCTTGTTGATGACTTTGTTAAAGTTCCTGTCTTCAGTGTTTGAATTCCAATATTATAATTTTGATAAATGTAACAATATTATAATTAATAAAAATGATCACTTTTTTAAAGCATCCTACATTTTTAATTGTTTTAATTATTTTCATTGTATGAGAGTTTTGCCTGAATGTTTATCTGTGGATCGGTGTGCCTAGTAACTGTGGAGATTAGACAATAGCATCGGATACCATGCATTGGTTATACAGAAGTTATGGGTGATTGCACCTTTCCATGTGGATATCAGGAATTGAACCCACATCCCCAAGAAGCACAAGTGTTCTTCACCACTGAGATAACTTTCCAGTCGAACTAAGTCTTACATTCTAAAATGGTACCATGATTTTATAATTTGCCTAAAATCTTTTATTGGATACCCTTTGAATCTCTTTCTCTTATCCCATCCAGGCACCAGCTTATGCCCCAGTGTAATGACTTGCCTCTTCTTAAAGTATGCAATGGAAACATCATTTATAATTTTTGTTCTCTTTGCTAAGCTGATCACAATAAACAAACTTGGGAGAACCAATTACACAATCTGAAAAGAAATCACCTAAATAACAGAACTGCAGGGTACCTGCAATTATTTAAGCTGTAGCATCATGGTGTTCACTCTGCTCACAGCGTCTATGAATCGAAAGGAAGAATAAAGATCCCATGACTCTGCCCTCCACCATTTTCATCCTCTGCTTAGAAGATTTTAGAAAAAATAATGAGCTGACCAATTATCAAGGCGTTCCCTCTACAATAGTTTACTTGGTGCAATACATAAATACATATGTATTAATATAATACTTAACATATATGCAGTGTCTAACTTTATTGCCTGAAGCAGTATTTTTTTATTCTCATATTCTTAATAGGATTTATAACTGCAAAATGCAAGAGGATGCTTCAGTGAAATATTTCTCAAAGTTTATAATAGTTCCCCAAAGCCAAAATATTCTGAAAGTAAAAAATTCCAGAATTAACTGTACAGTGATTAAAATACAGCCATAAACTAAACTGAGTCTGTCTTAAAGACCTCATATATACAATTTATCAAAAAACACATAATTAATCCTTCATGGGTGTATTACTATATTCAAACATTAGATGTTGTTTTATGTGTTTGTTACCTGACAGGAACACTCTTTTGTAAAGCAATAAATTCATGAATGAACTATGAGAATTAAGGTAGAGACTGTAAATCTCTTATCCCCAATCAAAGAACACACATCAATTTTTCTTTTAAGCTAAGTTCTTAAACACTAGTGAATCTTATAATCTTATAACATAGTGACTACTACCTCAGAATGATGTAGAAGAAAAACCTGGGTCATTGATGTAGAGATGTTACCAAATCTGGCTTTAAAAATAATCAGTTGTGTAAAATTTGTCATATTGCTGTTACTTCCTTAATTTCAGTGCTTTCTAAAGGATTCTTGGACACTTAATTGAGATGATGTAGGAGGTTAGATTTGAGACTTTCAAAATAATGATTTCAATGTCGAACTACTGTTGTTATTGTTGTTACAGCATAATTACTATTAATGATATATCTGGCTTTATCCACCGAAGTGAGTGAAGGAAATACTGCTTTTCAGTGTTTCACATTAACATTTCAAAAATTCTTTTATAGGAGAAATAAATTCTCTTGAGATTATATTCCTAACAAATGATGTCATAAGTATTTCTTAAAAGCAAGTAATGAATTTACAAAAAGAACTGCGCAAACAGATGGCGGATTAGTTTAAGTTACTTTTTGGATCAGTTGCTTTTTCGTGGCTGTGTCTAAATGTCTGACACGAAAAACTGTGGTTTGATTTTGCAGAATTTCGTGGAGGGATGCGGTCTACTGAGGTGTGACGTGTAGATCATCACAACCGAGGCAGCTGGTTATGTTTTATGCCTGCTCTCAGGAAGGAAGGGCAGACAGGGAAGTGGGATCATATTAGAAAATTCCTGTCGGGGCTGCCATCGGAGAGGAGCAGCCGTGGCCCTGCGCTACCCCATGGCCGTGGGCCTCAACAAGGGCCACAAGGTGACTAAGAACGTAAGCCAGCCAAGGCACAGCCAGCGGCGCGGGTGCCTCACAAAGCACACCAAGTTCGTGCGGGACATGATCCGGGAGGTGTGCGGCTTCGTGCCCTACGAGCAGAGCGCCATGGAGCTGCTCAAGGTGTCCAAGGACAAGCGCCCGCTCAAGTTCATCAAGAAGCAGGTGGGCACGCACATACGCGCCAAGAGGAAGCGGAGGAGCTGAGCAACGTGCTGGTCGCCATGAGGAAGGTGGCGGCCAAGAAGGACTGATCCCCTCCCCGTTCTCAATAAACGTTGCTGTGGCGCAAAAAAAAAAAAAAAAAAAAAAAAAAAAAAAAAAAAAGAAAAAAAGAAAATCTCCAATCACACTCCAAGTGGCATATTCTTTCAGGGTGGCTCTATCTTCTAAAGATTCCAGAACATTCCACAACAAAACCAATGCATAGGGACCACATTCAAGCACACGGGTCTCCGTGGTCATGTCACATTCAAAGCACAGCACGGATCAATAGGCATTGCTTATTTTATAGTGAGTAAATAGAGCAGCACTCACCTGCGAAGAGTAGGAATGCCCATCGGAACCACAAACAGGGCTGCCATAGGCCACAGGGCAGGGCTTACAGATGGATGGCCGGAGACCTCTCCCTTGCTTATGGCTTCCTCCTACTTCTTTCATACTGCTGGCAAGGAAAAGACATAAAAAGAAAAAGAGCCATACTTAGTGCAACAAATTTTCAGAATTAACTTTTTGTGCAACTGCCTTTTCTGGCCTGTCATAACGATGCTTGAGATTAAGCGATTGTCTCTTTCACCACTGTTATCTCTGCACACTGTGCTTCATGATCTAGTGCTATCTTTTCAGATTCCTCAGTTCTTCCAATGAACTGAGATTGTACTTCTCAAAAGTTTTGTGCTAGTCACAGAGAGTGTGGTTATATTATTTTATGTACAGTCTTTAATTTTTAGACATAAAATAGGTTCTTGATAAGCCAGAAGCAGCACCTGCTAAAAGTACAGATTTCTGGAACCTTCTACAAGCTTGCCCTTGTAGTCTCTTAGGAATGGGAAAAAAAAAAAAAGACACCCGACTTAATGCTTGCTTAAAAAGGAGAGAGCTGACTTTTAGAAGAAACAGCTACAAAGTAGCAGGAATTTACAGCATCTAGCAATGTTTAAAGAGGCAAATTACTAGGTTTATTGACAACAACCCCCCCATTGTTGTGAAGTGTCTCAAAACGGACTCCTTAGACTTTGATCTAAAATAACTCTGGGAAATCCATTCCTATTTTTAATGCATCACAAAGACTCTTTCCTCTTGTTTACACTACTCATTTCCTTGCCTATTTGTGGAAACTGTTTACACAGAAAGAAAAGGACTAAAAAATGAGAAAGTTACTGGGAATCTATAGAAAGACAGATCCTTGTATAGAATGTGGTAAGTCAATATATATTCATTGAAATTTTCTGTGCAGAGAGTAATCCGATGTCTCTTTGACACAAAAACGTTAAAAGGACTATGTACTCCTCATGATTTTGTATATGTTAATGATTTTTATTCTCTAGGCTTTATACTAGGAAAACCAGCTTAAAAAGTGTTGCAGCTAGACAATACTAAAAAAAAAAATACACCATAAGGAATTATATCATAGGAGAAGAAATTTAAGTTTCATCCGGAATATAGGCTTTAAAATATCATATCTCTCTATCTATGTATTTATCTGTTCATCTGCCTTTCTGTCTATCTATCTTTCTTTCTATCTATCTATCTATCTATCTATCTATCTATCTATCATCTATCTATCTCTTTACCTCCTCATCTTTTTCTCTCTTCTCCCTTCCTTCCCTTTGTTCCTCTATCACTTTATCCCTCCATATCCTTTATTTCCCCTCATTTCTCCTTCCTCTTTAGAGACCATTCCTATACAGATTGTTATAATGTCTACAAGAATTTCAAATATACTGTTTTCATTTCTTATATATAATTTATACTTATTGATCATAATCTACCCTTACTTTGCTACAGAATTCTCCTGGAAATACAGTGGAGCAAAGTACTAATGTGTAATAGAGGTATTATTAAAAATTAAAATAATGTATAGAAACTTTATCATACTGTTCCAATCCTCATCAATGACAAAAATTGAGTAAGGCTTAGATAATCATGTCCAGGATGTAAAAATTATGGACTATGTATATAATATCTCAAGTATTATGAAGTGCTTCATTTTTTTTCAATTCTGTTTAATAGTTCTGTACATCATGGAAAATAATTTTCCTTTGAGTATGTATTATATGTGTCTTTATGTGTATATTTACTTGTGAAGATATATCTCTGTGTTTGTGTGTGTGTATTTTGTTTCTCACCTGTGAAGGTTTGTCTTTGTGTGTATACTCAACTGTGAAGGTGTACGTGTGTGTATTCTCACCTGTGAATGTGTGTCTGTGTGTGTATATTCAACTGTGAAGGTGTACGTGTGTGTATTCTCACCTGTGAATGTGTGTCTGTGTGTGTATATTCAACTGTGAAGGTGTACGTGTGTGTATAATTGTGTGAATGTGTGTTTATCTTTACCTGTGAAGGGAAAGGAGGTCATCTGGAGGTCAGAGATTGGCGCTGAGATGATTTTCTCAAATACTTTATCATGCAGTCCTTTGAGAAAGAATTTCTTTCTGAACCTATATCTCAGCATCCTGGCTACAGACTCTAGACTCCAAGCCTTAGGACTATACCTGTTTATTGTGACAGTTGCATGAAAACAATCCGGATTTTATGGAAGTTCTGGAATTCCAAAATTAGGTTCTTATGTTTGTACAGCAGGTAACTCACTAACCATTCCCTAAGTCCTTTCAGAAATCTTTCATAAAGTCCTGAAACAAATTTCTGTGTATGTTCCGCAGCAAAGATTCTATTTACAGTGTTTTCCATAGAGATATTCAGTTCACAGTAAAATGCATTGAGTAGATGAAGCAATAACTGAACATTTATAGATCTCAATATCGATATTTCCTGTAGCATATAAACATATATGTGTGTGTGTGTGTATTATTTACTCATATGTAATCTATATGTAATTATATTGTATAATATACACATGAATGAAGTCTTTCTGTTATTGCTGTTGTTAATTTCATTTTTAATTATACCCAAAGACTCTAGTTTAAGAAAAATATTATTTTCCTGAGAGAAGTGAAGTCATGGCAGTCATTGGACAGGCCAACAGGGACAAATTGATTTTTTTGAGAAACGACAACCTGGTTCCTGCTATCAGGATTTGTTTCCTGGCAACAAGAGGTGTAGCAATGACAAGAGAAACAGTCTGGAGAAAGCATTAGAAGATATATTAGACTTAATACTCAAGGTAAAGAAGGATTTTAATGTCAGAAAGTAAATCTACATTTGATGTTATTTACTCTCTCTCTCTCTCTCTCTCTCTGTGTGTGTGTGTGTGTGTTGTGTGTATATGTGTGCTTGAATTTATAAAACCATGTCCCATGTCCTACATGTGGAATTTAAGAGACAACTGTAATAGTCAATTTTCTTCTTGACAACGTGGATTCTGGGTGTCAAACTCTGGTCAGCAGACTTAATGGATGCTCACTGAGTCGACTCCCCACTCCTCAATTGTTTTTGAGGACTTCGCTTCAACTATATTACCATTGAGGTCATTGTTATTTACTCCCATTGGTGGAATACAAAACTCACGATGGGTTAAAAACATTAAAAATATTTTGAAGTATTTGCCAACAGCAGCTTTGAGATGTCTACAGTTATGGGAAATAATTTTTAACCAAATCTTTAAAGTTTTAAGTTAAAAAATGATTTACTCTCTAAGGGAAGTCTCTCTCTCTCTGCATGAATACATCCTTTTCCCCCGTAGAGCAAAATGCTATATTTATGCACTCAGGGAAATTGTGTCCAAGATTAATATATGCTATCACAGTTTCTTTCCTCTCACAATTTTCTTTCTAAGTCTCATCACACAAAGCAGTAAGTGGGCTGTATGCCATCATCAACATTATTATTGTCTAATAGCCTCACAATAAAAAAGACAAGGGGAAGTTTTAGTATGACCTGAACGGCTCTCACATGTAGTCTAGACACATAGTGAAGACAAGGAAACTTGTTGGTTGTCATTTAAACTTCAGTGGTTTTGTTCTCTGCTGTTTAGTATAAGGTAACATGGAGAGTCTCTTATGAAAACATGATCATTTTATTTTTATAATAATCATGATATTCCTCATAGCCTCTATGGACCCAATTATGGATTATTTAGCTTTCTGTTTGTTAAGCATGCTGTGCTCTTTACAATATACTTTGAGCCATTTTAGAAAAGTGAGAAACGATGTTTCCTGCATGATTAACATTGAAAAAAACCTTATTTCAACTTGATTTGCTTCATATAAGATCACACCACTTATCATTTGCGATGAGTTCCTAAAACCTCCTGAATCTTAGTTTAATCACATAAATTTCTAGGCTTAATCACTATGTTTCATTTCTTCTTAAGCAATCCATGAGGCTATAATTCTAATACAATTACATACATGATTATAATCAATAAAAAAATAGAAGAATGGAGAGTACAAGCCATGCACTGTCTGTGTGCTATTACTTTTGAGTTTGATAGTGTTTCCCAGTAAAATGAATATAGCTTTAGGTAGTTACGAGGAAATGTAATCGGCCTCCAAATTGTTAATATTTTAATTAGAAATAATATAAGACATCTGAAGACAATCAGTGACAGACATGGAATGAAAACTAATCAATATGGGTAGATAAAATAATTTTAACAATAAAGCGAATGATTTGATGTTGTTTTAAGAATTGCCAAAAATCAGGTAATAATTTGTATCAGTGTCCAAGCACAGTGTAACAAACACCACGAGAGAATACAGTGCAAGTTAATACAAATGAGAAAATATTTTTCTAAGTCCTAAGTTATTGAGTCAGATTTCATTGCTTAGGAGTTCTCAGTTCTGAAACACACAAAGGCAAACACCAGGTTATATATTAGACACAGAAAAGCAGAAGCTATTGTGGCTGATTTTTGAATTTCACAGGTCCATTTGCACCAACACTACTTTTACTTGTACTAATAGTGAATATAGTATAGGAACATAATATGATAAGTGAGCTTTAAATTGGATGTTTTCTGTGAATTCTGAAGTAAGGGCAGCTTGATGTATTTCTTGCCCATTCAATAGATACACCAAACATTTTAT